TCTTCTTCAGGCTGAATAAGCCCAGCTCCCTCAGCCTTTCCTCAGAGGACAGATGCTCCAGTCCCCTCATCATCCTCGTAGCCCTCCGCTGGACACTCTCCAGTAGTTCCTCATCTTTCCTGAACTGGGGAGCCCAGAACTGGACACAGTACTCCAAATGGGGCCTCACTAGGGCACAGTAGAGGGGGAGGAGATCATACAAGATCATACAAAGTCACCTGAGGAAGCGCTTTGGCAAATGTTGCACATATTCACTGTGACCGGCTTTGAAGCCCCCAGCACAGGAAAGACATGGACCTGTTCGAGTGGGTCCAGAGGAGGGCTACAAAAATGATCATAGGGCTGGAACACCTCTCCTAGGAGGAAAGGCTGGGAGAGTTGGGGCTGTTCAGCCTGGAGAAGAGAAGTCTCCAGGGAGACCTTACAGCAGCCTTCCAAGTACCTGAAGGGGGCCTACAAGAAAGGGACTTTTTACAAGGATAGGTAGGGACAGGACAAGGGATGACAGCTTCAAACTGAAAGAGGGTAGGTTTAGATTAGATAAAAGGAAGAAATTCTTTACTATGAGGGTAATGAAGCACTGGAACAGATTGCCCAGAGAAGCTGTGGATGCCCCTTCCTTGGAAATTTTCAAGGCCAGGATGGATGGGGCTTTGAGCAACCTGGTCTAGTGGAAGGTGACCCTGCCCATGGCAGGGGGGCTGGAAATAGATAATCTTGAAGGTCGCTTCCAACGCAAACCATTCTATGATTCTATGATATTCATGCTATAGCTGATCTATACTTTAGCAACACAAGCTCCATTTCATCTAGAGAAAACCAGTCGAAGAACAATATAAGGAAAATCAACAATTCTGACAGCTTTATAATTGTGTGGTGGCACACTCAAAGGAATATTATTTTAATTAAAATCACAACAAGGAAAAGCAGTAAAGAAAGCAGGTTCAATATGCCTTTATTAGCTTTAGACTGACCCCACCACTTCTTCCAGACTTGCATTTGTAAGATTAAATTCAATGGTTGAGCTCTAACAAGGTGTTGCAAGCCAGACTGATGAAGGCAATTCATCTGATGGAGAGAACAATAATTTGTTGGCATCTTCTTAAATTCTACCTTCAAAGCCCTGTATGTACTGGTCAAAGTATTTCCAGAACGGCTTTAAAATAGATAATAAATATTTCTATCCCACCTTTGTAGTCACAAATGAATAAAAAAATAATGCAACTAGTGTTAACACACTAAATTTGGGCTTAGAACTTGAATCTTTTTGCTTTTAGACTTTTTTCCCCAAGAGAAAGGGACTCTGGACAGAATACTGTATTTTCAGAGGCAATATCAAAGTTCAGTGATGATTTAATTTTATATCTCAGATAAATTTCACTGAAACCTAAGCATCACATAGGGTTTTGAACATACTTCTTAAGACATAGCTCCTTCAGGCCGCAACAAAATTAAAGCAAAACACAGAAATTAATTCCTAGCTGGAAGAGTTGACCAGACTATATTAACTATTCTTACATTTTCTTTTCTCCAGCACAAAACTGGAGTTGAAATCCAGCATAAAAATGGAATGTAGAAAACCCAAACAGAAACACTAATAGTTACAATGGTCTTGTGTGTGCGGCAGGGGGGAAGGTTATAAGCTAAGGCATCGAGCTTCCAGTTTGGCAAAGTCTGAGTAAGTTGGCAGTCAAGAAAACAGCAATGATAAAGCCCAGAAATTACTATTGGGAATATTCATATGCCAGCAAGCCACAAATGTATAGTTTATAAGCTTTGGCAAATGGAGGTAAAGCTCAGCTTTGATGAATTATAAATGCTACAAAATTTAGAGCATTTGTCATGCTAACTAGACTGTTGCTTTACAAAGTAACACTGGGCCCTTAAGGTACTTCACCACGGAGTGAAAGCTGCTTTATCACCTTTTGAATAAACTCCCGGCTCCCTAGTATCTCATTTTCTTAGATAACAAAAATTTTTCCCAGTCTAAAGCATAAAGGGTTGCATCATTAGCAATGC